GTGTGTGTGTGTGTGTGTGTGTGTGTGTGTGTGTGTGTGTGTGTGTTACCAGGCCATGCGTGTAGTTGAAACCCAGTTCCCTGCTGATGGTCCAGTTGGCGTGTTCTTCAATTTGCTGCTCGTCTGGAAAAACAACCGGCTGGTTGAACCAGGAGAACTCGAGTTCGACACAGGGAGATTCCTAGCGATCAGGAACAACCAATTAGGAGAGCTGATCTCGGGGGCCAGACCAGACGCAAAACCCCCAGGGTGGCTTACCTTGTTAGGATTGGAACCGGCCACCCCGATAGGGTTCAGCAAGTCTTCGAGGCCGTGAGGCACGGGCCATAAACTTAGCGCCACTTTCCCTGAAACCAGAATGTCCTTATAGTCGAAGAGATTCACGTTTCCCCAAGCCAGTGGACAGTGTTCCTGACGGACAAATGGACAGAGAGTCATTCATTTGGTGGCTTCTCTTCCTCTTCTCTCCTACTTCCTGTTTCCCATTTCTTTCCTACCTCCTTAGCTCCTTTCCTTCCCTTCACAGAGCAGATAGACAGGCAGAGTCGGGCTGAGCGGGGCAGGTCGGCCAGGTAGATGTCATAGGTCAGCCATTCGTTCCATCTACGTGTTATGCAGAAGAGGTGAAATGGTGATTTTAAGTAGGAGTACGAATACTAGTTTAAAAGAAAAAAAAAGACAGATAAAAGTAGAAGTACTGTTTAAACTCATAGTTGCAGGGAAAAAAAAGGAATTATTAAAAGTCACTGGTCGCTATGTTACCTCGGGTTCGAGCATGGGACTCTTTGCGTGTTGACATTGTCACACAGCGGCTCTCCTCCATGATATATCCCCGTTCTTACGTAGATCTACACACAGCGTTAGACAGAGTCAGACAAAGACGGCGCGGGACAAAGACATGCGGGCGAACCTTGTCAATGTCTCGGATGTTGACGTTGACGTAGGTGGCGCAGAGCAGTCGGACCCTCAGCCGGCTGTTGAAGGCCCACAGCGAGCGTGGCGGAGAACCGTCCGTCCCTCCGGGACAGGGAGATGGCTGTGGGGTCCGGCGACTGAAATGCAAATAAGTCCTCGACCCCTGATCGGTTCTACGTTTGAGCGCTAGGCTTACCTGTAGGAAGGAGTGACGAAGCTGGAGGCGGGAAGTTGACAGTAAAGACTGTCCTTGGAGACCAGCATGAGGTGAGGAAGACGACCTACGATGATACAGGAGCGGATGTACTGCGGGAAGACACAAGTCACAAGTGAGGTTTGTATTTTTTAATTTTTTTTTTTGTGGTATACGATTTCAAATAAACGTTCAAACGGCTTTCTATCGGAGTGGGAGGACCTATCCGTGAAAGCTGTTACCTTGTACTGACTGAGTGGATACTTTTCCAACAGGTACTCGTCACAGCCACACACCTGAGGAGATAGTGTGTGTGTGTGAGTCAGACGGCCACGGTAAATGTTGAAATCCGGGTCTACCTTGAGGATGTACTGGCCCTGGTACTCTTGTACGCAGAGGCGGAGCTGCTGAGGGGAAAGGTGCATGGACCTGCTCTTCTTCCTGATGGACTCTGCTATCAGCTGCTCGGGAAGGCTATCGTGGCTCACCTGTGCACGCAAAAGTATATCTTTCAGGTGAGTTGTTGAAGTAAAAAAAAAAAAAAAAGTACCGACTGCACTCATTGTACTGCAGTTCGTCTACCGCGGCAACGATATGTCGCGAAAATCTGCGATTTAAGCAATATCTTGGGCTCCGATCGACTGCTTCCTAACATCACACGTGCACTGTTGGATAGAAAATTGACTTTGGTTTTAGATTTGTGTAAAAAGCGTATTTTGAAATGTTGATTTGTTTTGAAATATGGCCTCTCTATGACAATATATCGGGTTTCGCTGTATACCTTTAGCGTATATTTCTGTTTGGAGTTTGTCGGCGACACGATCACCCAGATGGTTACAATCAGTCTGCCTGTGGAGAGACACAAGAAAGCGAGTCAGTTCTTGTCATTTCCTTGATGGAAAGGTCTGGCGCAGGAGTGGACAAAGTTTCTTCATGTCTTCATAAGTCTCTCCATCACCCTTCAAATCCCTTCATGTTCTTCATGGCAAGAAACGTCTTGATGTACCAACAACTCCCTGCAAATCGTGTCCCTAAAAGTCCCTTAAACTCTATTCAAGCATCCTAATATCCCTGAAAGTCCTTTGAATTCATGTCCTCCAAACCACTGGAAACTTCTTTATGTCCTTACACGTACCGAGAGTAGAAGTCAGTTTCATTCAGACATTTAAGATGCAGTCAAGATGCAGTTTTGGACGAGAGTCTTCTACCTTTGTCCAGCTTGCTGTAGATGTGCTGTGGGAGTTGGGGGCTGGACTCGACATTTGGGGGATAAACGTAGAGCGCTTGGCTGTGGGCGCCGCCCCCCTCCCGCTCCTCCATGGCCTCCCTGCACACGCCCAATATGGCACGACGGAAGTCTTGAATCTCTGGGTCCTTCATCATCTCAAACTCGCAGACTGGCATCCCGATGGCGAATCCTGTGAGTAAACAGTGTGGCATGGCCATGGGATTCTAGCGAGGCAACCGGGACTTCGCCATTCCCCCCTTCCCCGCACATTACCGATCTCTCGGTTCAGAATCTTCTCCTCACGATTTCCCAGCGGCTCAATCACTTTCAGGATGGGGTGAAACAAGCGGAGGTCGCACAGCCGCCTTGACTCATCGTAAAATTCTTCCCTCTCTGCTTCCTGGGTCACGCCCACAAAGATGTAGCTGGACTCCTCCTGTAGTCGGCCAGAGATCAGAGGGTCCAAGAAGTCCCATCAGGTTTTCTCTTTCCCGGACAAGTTTCGACAATCTTTTCATGTCGCTTTGTGTCGCTACAAGTGTTTTCGTATCCATAGAAGTCTCTGAATGTCTCTAGAAGTCATGTCCTTTCAATTTTTGTCACGTTCCCGACTGTGCCCAGAAATCGCCAAATGTCCCGAGAAGTGTCGTATCATTGCAAGTCATGTTCATATAAATTCTTGTCCGCCTAAGTCCCGACAAATCCTCATGTCTCTACAAGTCCCTTTCTGTCTGTTCAAGTCTTTTGCTTTCTTCTTGTCTCTTCATGTCCCCCCCCACCAGTAATGTCTGACAGTAAAGGCCGCAGTGACCGATAACGGCCGTACCTGGAGAAGGTGGTAGAGGGGATACTTCCTGGCCTCTGTGAAGAGCTGCTGTTTGATGCTGATGAGAGGAGTTTCTCGAATTTCTTCTTGTCTCTTCATGTGCCCCCCACCAGTAATGTCCGACAGTAAAGGCCGCAGTGCCCGATAACGGCCGTACCTGGAGAAGGTGGTAAAGGGGATACTTCCTGGCCTCTGTGAAGAGCTGCTGTTTGATGCTGATGAGAGGAGTTTCTCGAAGACACTCCAGGCTCACCATCATCCCTGCGAACAACACAACACCGCCGACATTGTAATCTGTGTCGGATTGGAATAAGAAACAGGTGAGCAAACTCGTACCGTTGGGAAGGCAGCAGTCCACCAGGATGCGCGGTGGCATCAGGTGGAGACCCCATAATTCCCCTGACGACGGTCGGGGTGCCATGGTAGCTGCCTCACCTCCGGAACACCTGTCAGACAGATTGGTGGACGTGATAATGTCTGTGACATTTGTTCATCGTAGATTATGCTTCGAGTTTCCTCATGTCCGTACAGGTCTTGTGCCCATAACAAATCCCAAGTCATTGGTCTACAGATCTCATTATGCCCCTTAAGTCTTGTCATATCCCTTAAAGTTCCGAGAAGCCTCGTCTTGTTCCTAATGATCCTTACACGTCCCTCCAAGTCTCTTTATGTATTTATAAGTCCCTACAAATGTCTTCATGTCCCTTCAAGTCTATAGATGTCCTAACAAGTCTCTTGCATCTCCTGATGTCCCCAAAACTGAATAGAAGTGTCTTTACGTCCTTCCAAGTCTTTTCCAAATCACGTCCATACCAATTCCCACAAGTCTTGTCATGTCCTTAAAAAACAAAATCATTGAAAGTCTTTTGATATTGCTTCAGTTGTCATAGTTCCCTTGATGAGTATGTCATGCCAACCAACATTACCCTTTCTATGGCTGTTGTTCCTTTGGTTGTAATCCTCAAGTCTCGTCCCTAAAAATCTCTTTTGGTCGCTTCATGTTCCTCAAGTTTCTTCAAGTCTGTGAAAGTCCTTACAAGTCTCCTATTTCCCCTGATGATGTTGAGGGTGCCATGGCAACCGCCTCACCTCCGGCAGCTGACACAGACAGACAGACAGACAGGTGGATGTGTTAATGTCTGCGGGCCTTTTATTCCTCTTTGGGGAACCTTTTTGATCCACTCGGCCATCTTATTTTCGCGGGAATCTCCGTTTGCCTCTTTACATTTTTGTGTGTTTTCTATGGGCCCGTCAAACAAAGGCCAAAAAGTAGGACACGTGCGCGCACACGCACACGCAAACATTTCCTGTTGCTCTGCGCGGAAGAGGATTTGTCACTAAAATGATTTATATCTGCTAGGAAGACCTTGACTTGGCTTGATCAAAATGAACCGACAACCTCCTCTGCTTGTCTCTTCCTCATGACTTCAGACTATGATATGGTTGCCATGACAACAGGAAAGGTAGCATCATGCTGTGATTACCCCTTTGTTCAGTGTGTGCGCGCGCCCGTGTGTGTGTGTGTGTGTGTGTGTGCGTGTGTGTGTGTGTGTGTGTGTGTGTGTTTGTCACCTGAGCTGGTTCACAGTCCGGCGACGTGTCTTCACTCAGCGCATCCTTGTAACCAGCCGGTGTGTCTTTGTCTCCGGTTTGAGTGTCAGGCTCCTAATTGTGCGTCATCGACGGTGACCAGGCGTTCCAACCCGCCCTTCCACCGTGGGGCGTGCGTCCACATCCAGTCCAGGCGTCCGTCAGTCTGTCCGTGTGTGTTTGCTGCGGAGGGCAGTGTGCGGAGGAAGCCGCTGCTCGCCGGCAGTGGCAGAACAATGTGCTGGAGGAAGGGGGTGGGGAGTTCCAAGGGGGGAGTGGGAGGGGGACTTCTCTTGCCCACTTCCCCTCTTAAAGGGCCAGCATCCTCTGCCAAAGACTCCTAATGGCAACACAAAGTGCTCTCACTCTGTTATCACACAAAGAGGTCATTTTTTCCCCCCAGGATTATTGTAAATGTTCAATTTCAGCTTGATACTTTTGACACTCTTGAGTCATACACCCCAAATAATATTTAGATGAATAACAGTGACAGGGAGAACATTGTTGGGCTTCGTTTGGGTGTCAGAGTGGTGCCTCTGTCCCGAGGTGACACCTCTGAACAAGCAGAGGATCAGTGATGTCACATCAGCTGTTAATGTTACACACACACACACACACACACACACACACACACACACACACTCTCTCTCTCACACATACTCACAGTAGTTGTCAACAAAGAGAATCTAGGCAAAGATCAGGGGGTTGGGGGGGGTGGGGGGATTAACAGAATGCGTTCAGAAAATCATCATGGCTATTTTTTAGTGTGTCATCTAGATGCCGGTGGTTATAAAAAAAAGCACCGGTCCGAAATTGGATCATTTGAGAAGCAGTCATTTGTTCATTTTGTGTGCGTGTGTTTAGAAAACAACAACTAAGTTTTGTTGTACAAACAATTTATTTTAAAATCACTACATCCTGCACTGATCACCTATCAATCACAGAGACAGAGAAAGCGCTCAGATGTCACATCGACTGCCTATGATAACTTATTTAATGGGTGGCACAGTGGAGTAGTGGTTAGCATGTCTACCTCACAGTTTTGAGGTTCGCGTTAAAATCTTGGCTACGGCTGCCCATGATTGCATGAGTTCCGTTTTGAATGTGAATGTTTTTTTTTTTT